TGTCATCAAAACAAAAACATCTGACACAAATTGTCATGAAACACGTCGAGCTGACCTGACTCAAATTTTTCAGCAGATTCAGATTCAGTTCAGCAGCCGCCTTTGAAAGTGAAAAAATTGAAGTCTGGTATTTTTGTTGACAATTGGAAACTTAAGACTTTGTTCTCAATATATGATTTTAATAGGAAAGTTTTTTCTCATAAATGTAGATATTTTACAACAAAACCAGTTTTAACCACTGGAGGAATATTTAAAATTCTAGAGTAAGTCAATGTAACATGAAAAAAGACTTTCAAAAGCTTTCAATAAGATAAGATATCCTTTACTCATATCGGAGAAATGTTCAGTTACAGCAGCAAAGAGCAAGGATAGCCAACAAAAAGAAACACAAGAAAAACCTATTATACAATACATTTACCTTTTTTATACACAAAACAGATTAACTATACACACCAACCTGAAAAGATGAAGCTCATGTATCAAAACATGAATTCAATCTGCTAAACTCAAAGTACAACTCCATTGATGTCACTCAAGTAGCACTTGAGGTGCAGTCTCAGGGACAGGTCTGCTGGACAGGTCTGCTCTCTGTCCCCAGAGTCAGAACCAAACATGGAGAAGCAGTGTTCAGTTCTATGCTCCTTATATCTGGAACAAACTCCCAGAAAACTGCAGGTCTGCTGAAACTCTCAGCTCTTTTAAATCCAGGTTGAAGACTCACCTGTTTACAGCTGCCTTTCATTAAACAGCTTTAATAAGATTTTAAACTTTTGCTCTGTAACTTTTAACTCTTTTTATATTTTTACTTTTTTTAATTTCAATTAATTTCATTTGAATTATTTTATTTGAACATATTTCAGATTTAATAATATCAGTGATTTTTTAAATGTTCTATTTTAATGTTTCTTTTCTTCCTCTGTCATGATGCTTTTTGATGTCTTGTGTGAATCACTTTGAATTACCTTGTTGTTGAAATGTGCTACATAAATAAACTCACCTTGCCTTAGGTTTGAAGCTGCTTAGAGACCTAGGAGGCCAGAAACTGCAGGAAGCGACCAAAGCTGCAGAGAGAAACAGCCAATGGCTATGGATGAAGATGCAAGACCTCTGCTGGGACCCAAAGTAGCAGTCCAGGTTGACATATAGGGGATTTTTCTGGGACACCAGAGGGCGCTGTTGAGCCCTCCTGAGACGTCGTCAGCTCAACAACAAAAACACTGAGGAAGGAGAGTGCCCACTTGAAAACCCCTCTGTGTCTACATTCATCAGCAGGGTACTCTCTCTTACTAGGTGCTTGCACATGAAGGTTTTTTTTTTTCTTTTGCTTCTCATCCCAAACATACATGAACACTTTGATGGTAGTGTTTGAATTGTTCACATCAGTGTGTATTGTTTTGGTTAAATGAATCAGTTTAGAGAAGAGGGGACATGGTTTTTAGCTTTGTTTCACTTTGTAAGACATTTGTAGAGTTTTCACAAAGTAGTTCACTCTTTTTTTTGTCTCTGAGGTGTTGAGAAATTGGGTGACAGTTTATGGAAATGTGTTTAAAAGTTTGGGGATAACTGCACTTTGAGATAGCCCTGTTGTAATTCAGTTATTTCAGGAGCTGCACGTTCCTTCTCCTTTCGGTCGTGTTTACTAGTTTGCAGCTTCCGGTTTGTTTTGGTGAGGCTGCTCCTATTGGCTGATAACAGTGGTAACGTCATCGAACGGCACGTTTGCAGTTGGTGCATTCAGGGTGTCAGGCACATCGGAAAAACGATACCCGAGTTGTAAAATGCACATGAACACCTGCTCAAGTCGGAACAACAACTCGGAAACTCGGAAAAGAAGGAGGTGCTCATTTTGAGCACGATGACTTGACGTCACAATCGTCATCACAAAATGTTTTCTTTTTTAATGTTAACATAGGCTACTTTTTATTAATTCACGTAGGCCTATTGCACATCAACTTTAAATCTATATTTATATATATAAAACTTGTAAGCACCTGGTTTAAAACTGTAAAAATGAATTACATGTGTCACTTGTTTGTCTTTCATTTGAAAGACAGCTCAGTAGGCATCATAGATTGAGTTGAGCCTCTCCATGTACTCGCTCTTCCGCTTGTTATTTGTCCTCCTGTCTGTACCACTTTGCTGTTGAGGGATCTGCATGGGTTTTTTTTTTTGGAAAAAAATAAAACAAAGTTGAGTGTTTTTTAAGCGTGATAAAAAAGAGAAAAGTTGTTTCTTAACAGATGACAGTTCTTCTGACCTCTCCAGCTGACTGCTGGTGAAACTGGTCCTGGACTGGGTTCTGGTCTGCTGTCTTGGCCTTACATTTCCTGCAGAAATTAAAACAGTTGCAATAATGAAAATCCACCTTATTGTACCTTTCTGTTGTTTCAAATGTTTTATTGGTATTATTAGTACACTTTGGATTAGTTTATCTGTTTTAAAGGCACCTCTGAGTTAGTCCACTTATAACTAGTTTGTTACTGTAGGTTTCCACTGAATGAAGCCGTATAGATTGATGCTACAAAAAATCCCCTCTTCTGTAATCCACATCCAAACATCCACAGGACCATTAGATAAAAGTTTAAGTGTTTACTTTGACAAAAAAATAAACAAAAACAGATACAGAATTATCCAAATGATAAACAAGAGAGAAACAGAGAGAGGTCGAACGTGTGGCTTCACTCTCTGCTAGTCTCAACTAAACCCAATTAACTCCACAAACTCCTCTCTCCCCAGATCCAATGAACTTAAACTGTTTCAATTACAGGTGGCAAAGAACATGTCGTTTTCCACTCACAAGATATGTCAGAATCAGAATCAGAATCAGAATCAGAATCAGAATCAGAATCAGAATCAGAATCTGGGTTTATTGCCAAGCACATTTACACATACAAGGAATTTGACTTGGTGTATTGGTGCTAAACAATTAACAAGGAAATAAAGCAGAACTAACAACAACTTAAATAATACTGTTGGGGTTGTATCAAGTCAACTTTGGTTATATTCTTTAATAATTATACTTAATTATTAATAATATAAATAAAATATCATTAAACTATGTTTAATCTCGTTTTGGGGCACCAACCTGTAATCAGGTAAATATAACCAAAATATCACTCAAATCAGTCTCAAATTAGTTATTTAATTACTAATATTATTAATAATGAATAACTATATTTAATAAATTGAAGGCGTGAAATCCGTACACAAAGCCTTCGCACCCAGCTTATATCACAATGTAAATACACCAGTAACCACAAACAACTGCTCTCTTAAATTATAACAGAATTTATTTAAAGCAACATCAATCCAAAATCAATGAACTTAATTAAACAAATAACTATTATAAACTAATCTAAGCAACAAACATTATCAAGCAAAGGCTTGTGGAAGGGGTGTGAATGTAGGTGTGTGTGTGTGTGTGTGTGTGTGAGAGAGAGAGAGAGAGAGAGAGAGAGAGAGGGAAGAAGAAAGGGGGGAGATGGCTTCGTACCCTCGTGGTCGTTCACGATGGCGCAAACCTAACAAAGACCTGGGTGCGTGCGCGTGTGGATGAAAGGGAGAGAGAAGGGGGGGGAAGATTACTTCGTCCCACGTGGTCGCCCTTCCGATGGCACACACCTAACAAAGGCCTAAATGTGGCCTTAAGGTCTAAAAGAGACTGAGTTCGGCCCTACACAGTCTGTGTCTCTGAGGCGTCTGGATAGCCGCGAGTGTATAGATCTCTGTGCGTAATGGCGCGGTGGTGGAGTTGGTCTCCAGATGTACGTTTACACAGGAATATGTGTGTATGTGTGTGCGTAGAAGGGGAAATAAAAGAGAATAAAAGAGAAATGCGTGCCTGAAGAGGCCGGATCACAGTCCGACTCCCGCGCCACAACTCGGAGTAATTCCCTTCATTCACAGAAACAAACCAATAGCCGAATTCAGGTTAATACAGCTTACACTGGCCTTTCTGATCAGAAGAGTAATACCCGGTTATAACGCTGTTACGCTAAACACATATAGGACGCAGCGGTCCGAAACAACAAGAGTTTTAAACAGTTAAAACTCAGGACGCAGGTCCAACAAAGATAAAAATTACAGTTTCTGCTTTGATCAACAATTGTTAAAAACACTCTCTAAAGCTAATTCTGCCCAGACCTAATTAAGCCTCACTTGTGAATCGCTTTGTCCGCAATTGGTGAAAGGAAAAGAGTCCGGCGATGGAGCAGATCTTCTGTCCGTCCTGGTGCAGAGGCGTCTGATGGCGGCGAGGGTCCCTTACGGCGAGAGCGGCTTCGTTGGTTCTCCGTCGAGTGGAAAGATGTCCTTTGATGTCCTTTCGTTGCAGGACGGAATAAGACCGTTATCTTTCTGATAATCTGTTATAGTCTGACGCTCTCCGAGAAACTGAGATGTGTTCACTGGACAATCCGAGCTCGGAATTTAGAACACTGCCGGCCGCGGATTACCTGCGCGCCAAAACTTAAAACAAAGGAAGATTGTTGCAGGAAACAGGAGATCTTCTTGGGTCTCCGAGCACCGAAGGTCAGCGCGTGAAAGAGAGCGAGCAATGGAAGTCTTGGAGTTTTGTAGCCTGGCCTGCTCCATGGGGGTCTACCTCAGGTCCCCTCCAATGAGGAGAGAGAGGTTCCGGTCCCCCCTTTACTTCACACGTAGGTGTGAAGTACCGCAGGGGATTCTGGGATTAAGAGTCCTTTTAGGCCTCTTTGTGATCTCAGTGAATAACTCAAATGAGGCTTTTACAGAGGTGCAGGCCCAAGTCCACTGCCTGACTGTTCTAAGCCTGCGTGGCCCAACAATACAGAATAAGAAGATATTACAATATATAAAATAGAATTTAAAAATGTAAAATATTAAATATAAAAAACACAAAAGGTGTAATGTAGAAGCTGTGCAGTGGACTATGAGAACGTCTTGTGCATTCAAATGATCCATAAACATTTTTAATGTAAATATTGAATCACTGAATTTAGACAAACTATTGCATCCTGACTCCAATTTTAACACGAAGAGCATGAAGTAACACTGCTTTCGATTCCACTGTATGTCTGGCATATTTTGAAATTGAAAATAAAGTTGACTTTGACTTTGACTTGACTTTTTATCTGCAATAACCTGCATGTTTTTTTGTTTTTTTTAAAGATTTATTTTGGGCTTTTCGTGCCTTTAATGCAGAGAGAGGACAGTGGATAGAGTCTGAAACCAGAGAGAGAGAGGACAGTGGATAGAGTCAGAAACCAGAGAGAGAGAGGACAGTGGATAGAGTCTGAAACCAGAGAGAGAGAGGACAGTGGATAGAGTCTGAAACCAGAGAGAGAGAGAGGACAGTGGATAGAGTCTGAAACCAGAGAGAGAGAGGACAGTGGATAGAGTCAGAAACTAGAGAGAGAGAGGACAGTGGATAGAGTCTGAAACCAGAGAGAGAGAGGACAGTGGATAGAGTCTGAAACCAGAGAGAGAGAGGACAGTGGATAGAGTCTGAAACCAGGGAGAGAGAGGACAGTGGATAGAGTCTGAAACCAGGGAGAGAGAGCGGGGAATGACATGCGGAGGGGGGCCACGGGTGGAGGCAAGCCCGGGCCTACCACTCGAGACGAGAGTCTCAATACATGGGACGCGCGCCCTACCACTGCACCACCAGCACGCCCCGATAACTTGCATGTTTTAAACTAAGATTTACAACATGGCAAGAGACCACAAAGGGGTCAGAGTGATCACATCTGTAACTGAAATGAAGTGACATGTTTAAATGTGTACAGCAGAAAAAGGATGTCTGTGTTTAGAACCACATCAATTAATTCTGAAACAAAGCAGCAGAAAGAAAAAAACTAATTTACTCACAGGCTTAGAAAGAGAACGTTTTACTCACCTACAGAGGCATGTGGCTGAAATGATGCAACACAGTACCACTCCGATCCCAGCTGTGAGTATGTATAGGAAATACCCCGATGACTTCTCCTCTGTGTAAAATCAAATGTGAATGACTTTATGTTGCAGGTCATCAGAGCTTACACATTCATTATGACTTTTATTTAAGTGAGGAGACCAGCTTTGAGCTCTACTTACCTTCAGGTTTGTCAGACACGGTTAAATTCCACCGATAAGTCGTTGAACCTGAAGATTCAGTTAAATTACATGTATATAGTCCTTCATCATCTTCCTGAGCATTAGAAATAATCAGCTTTGAGGATAGATCTATTGTCAGTCTGTCAGAGGGGAAATTTGAAACAGTCACATTTCCTTTCATTAAATGAGAAAAAGAAAATCTGCCTTTGCTCCAGTTGATTTGTTTTGTATTTTCTCTTGATGTGTTGCAAGTAAAAATGACAGAGCCTCCTCTGGACACCTCTTCATTCTTGTGGTTGCCTTCTTGATCTGCTTAAATCAAAGAATGAAAAAACAATTAATACATATGCAACAGATACAAAACTTAGCCTTGAGAAAAGCATGCATTGCAAAAAACACAAAAGTTGTACTCTACCTGCAAAGACCCCGTGCATAAATAATAAAGAGAGCAGAGCTGCTTGGTTTGGATGAAACATGATGACCATCAAACAGACTGAGAGTTTATTGTTCAGTGTTGGAGTATAACTGTGAAGGAGAGTCAGAGAAGAGGAAGTGGTTGGCAACTACAGTTACGTTCCTTTTACTCAAACACCATAACATGGTGTGCGTATAGCTGAACTCTAAAATGGTAACACACGTAGAGTATATTACTTCCCACATCATTTTTAGAGTCATATATACACATGGAATATATAGCCTAGTTTATATACATGTGCAGTTATGCATGTTTTTTAAAGTCACACTTATACCATCATCTAAATTCAGTTCTAGAATACACTTCCTCTAAATTACATGAATATGTCATTTCTGGTTTCTCACATTAAAAAAAAATAACTTGAACTATCTAATGTTGCACTGTCATTGTTTAATCTGTGTTTGATGAGTCACTGAGTTAAACAGCAGGGAAAGAAACTCACCAAGATGCCTGATCATTAGAAATACAAATCTGTACCACTCCAACTTTTGACAAACTAAAGACACAAATGTAGTGATGTCATCTGTCCACATAAGGTGTTTATTTTACACCATCAAACATTTTATTGTGTTTTCAGTGTTGGGATAGAGACCTCCAGTTCAAGTCTGCTTAAAGCCTTAATTTGTGATTTTTCACACTTAAATGTAGAAATCAAGTATCTCCTCTGAAAATAACTCTGTGAGTCATGACTGTCTACAATGGGTGTAACACCCGAGTCCCACTGTCTGTGATGTTTTCAGAGTTTTCAGAGTCCTATCTTCACTTTGTTTACATCGCCCGGACGGCCGGCTGACTCCTCCCCTCGTGTATAAAAGTTGTTTAATTGAGGGACTAGAGAAAAGAAGAATAACATACTGTACTCACTGCTTAACTGTGTTTCTAGATCACGCTCATTTCAGGTAAATTTACATGCAGTGTGAAGATACCAGCATAATAAAGATCGCTAGCATTAGCATGCTAACACAACAATGCAGCGCGAGTTGTTTTGGTTTCATGCTGGAGCTCAAGGGCGACACCTGCTGGATCAAAAAATCACATATAAAGCCTTTAATGTCATATATAGGCTGTTTTTGCTTACCATGTTTTTACTGATTGGTGGTATATTTGTCTCGTTTTCTTGCTTTTTATTTGCTTTCTTCTTTCTGATTGGTTACTTTATCTTGTTTTTTTTTACTCAGGATTATCTTCTTAGTAATGAGCACTGTTGTCACTTTTGTCATGCTTTGTCCTGTTCTGTGTTGTTGATTGTGTGTAAAATGAGGCCCACTCACTCACTTTAAACCAAATCTACTTTTGGGTTTAAATACAGTTACCTTACCTTACATCAGTTCCATTTCAGGTGCTACATAATGTTGTATGTGTTGATTGTTTGTGCTAATAAAAATGTGCAGTTGACTAAATATTTATGTTTTGTTGGTTTATTTTATTTTCTGTAACAATTCTTAAGTTAACTTCTTCTTTCATTTATTACTTCACATATTTTTTTTAAGTAACTTAGGTCAGATTCATCTGGTAATATGTCTGTGTTTCTGCAGGATGATATTACCCTTATCGATTATCTCCACAAAACACATAAATAAGCCTCTAGCACAAATGGTTCTCAACTGGTGGGTCAGGATCCAAAAGTGGGTCGCAAAAGTTTGTTTCATCAGTTTCTTTGTTCTAACACACTTTGTAACGTCTCGACCAGAACCACTGCTCTAGCACACTAAGTCGGCTCATTTCCTTTATGTCTGCACAAACCAGCGAGGTGTCCACATACTCAACTGATTGAGAAGAACAGGAAGAGGAAACTCACACTTTTAAAGGTAGCAAAGGAGGAAATGGGGGGGGGGGGGGTAAAGAGTAACGAGTAAGAACTGAGAGGCCTTCAATAGTGAGGAAGTGTTTCAGTTGACCAGCAGAGGAGGCTGCAGCCAGTTGCCTTCTTTTATACTCTCTCCTCCATCCTAGAACAGCAGATCAGTTGATATCTCACTTTTCAAATAAACAAGAATTTTATCAAACAGACCATCGGGTCAATAAAATCATAGTAAAAGTCACATTTCTTTATATATCTGGTTTCATGTCAGAAGGGATCTTTTGTAGTCCTAATGGTTCCAGAAATGGTTGGTCCATGCCTTTCTGTCAGCTGGTACAAACAAGCGGGGAACAATCTACTACACTCTAAAGCTTCCTCTATTTTAATGTACAGTATGTTTCATGTTTTTTATTATAATATTTGCCAAAAAAATGTGTCCATAAAATCTGGTCAGGTTTAAAAACACATCAGAGGAGCGTCCAGACCAGAAGAGTGGAAAGAGATTCATAAAAACTTTACTAAGGAGGTCAAGGTATTAGCATGTTGGACATATTGTGGACAGTCTGCTTGAGTACTGTTTGTGTGTAAGAAAGCTTTCGATCATCTACACACATACAGGGAAGGATTTCTTTGATTGACTGGACCTGGAAGGTGATTTATCTCATCTATGTCTATATATCTATGTCATTTTTAAGATTTCTCTCTATTCTTTTGTCAGATTGCAGAGCTGTGCGTAAACTGTAGTCAATGCAAAGAACACAAGCTGACTGCTGAAATATCCTTCACTAATACTTTACTGTATATCAGAATCAGAATCAGGAATACTTTATTAATCCCAGGGGGAAATGTGTTTGCTACAGTTGCTCATAACACAAGAATCAGTAGGAAGTACAGATAAGTTCACAATATGAAATAAAATAAAAATAGTATAACAATATAATAAGTGAAGTACCAAGTGAAAGCAATAATAAAGTAGTATAAGTAATAAGCTATGTTCAAGCACAGGTCATTGAGAATATAAACAATATTTACAAGAATGAATACACACTGATGGATTAACAGCGTACATATTGCACGGTTCATGTATAGATTGCTCTTTTGATGTATTAATATTGTCCAGTTTTCAACAGATTGCACAGTTTTAGTAGAGAAATAGTCAAGGTAACGCTGCAGTTTTTTAAATGAAGTGCTGCTGCTGTCAGGACGACTTGTGACCTGTGATTCACAGTATTTGTATGAACAGTATAATTTTGGGTGAGAACAAAGAGCTAGCTCATCTTCACCTTTACCTCTCTCTCTTACTCTCTTTTAAAATCCTGCTGTAACAGGGCCATCTTGACTGACCTTCTTGTGGGGGAAACATGTTGAAACAAATTGTGTTCCAAGATTGACTTAAATGGAGAAAATGAGGGTGGTGCAGTGGTTGGTGCTTGGCCCCATGTGTGTGGGGGGCTGTGATCCTCAGGGTGGGCAGCCACAAGTTTGGGTCCGACCTCTGGCTCCTTTTTCCACTTGTTGACCCATACCCCACTCTCTCTCTCACCCAAGTTTCTGACTCTGTCTACTGTCTTAAATCTCCACAATAAAGCACAGAAAGCCTAAAAATAAATCTTAAAAGGGAAAACTAAACAAAATGCCTTTCAGTCAAGAAAACTTAACACAAAAGACCGACTAGACTAGATGTTAAAAATGTTTTTTAAAAATGTTTTGCTGCCCCTCCACATGCAGCTAGTGCCCACTTTTATATTTGTACCGCGGCCCCCTCATACAGCCTGAGTCCGCCCTCTGCATGTAGAAAACAGGAAGTCATCAAATGATGTATTTTGAAGTTTGAATAAACTGTTCTGCAACTCTAACTCTCTCTCTGCTCTCACCTGAAGGAGCAGAAATAAACC